TGTACATGAATTGAACTATCTTTTTTTGAAAGCACATGAATTGAACTATCTAATCCCAATATATCACAAATTAAGATTGGTACATAGGTTCACATTCCAGGATCTAAAAAATGTGAATTCATCTTAGCCGTTTATAAGAGTTCATAGGGTTATAGTAAAAAATATGGGTAAATTGCCAAACTCCTTGTGCTCTGATGACATGTAGTGACTTTTCCTATGTGGGAGGTCGTGAGATTGAGCCTCAGAGGAGGTGTTGTTGGCACTATAGTGTGTTTAAACATAATATGAGTAAATTTTATAATTATTGAAAATTTTAATTTTTTTTATAGGAGATGTGTGGGAAAATTCTTTGGTGACACTAGGAGAGGAAACCAGATATTTTTATTTATTTATTTTTATATAAAATAATCATAAACTTTTTTTTTTAAAATAAGATTTGACACACTCGATCTCATTTTAGTCAACCATCAATGTCCAATTGAAGCACTTCAACTTGTTAATACAAAATGTTAATATATATTCATGCACACATTTCAAAAGTTAGTATTTTTTTGAAACAAGATTTGAACCATTAATCTCAAAATTAAAAATTAATAACATTTTTTAAAAAATAAAAAATGTATAAAAGACTTGTAATATAAAAAATTTATAAAACACTTGTAATATCGTTTGAACTTTATTTTTATATTACTATAAATTGTGTTTAATTAATTAATTTATTGATACATTATGAAAATTGATAACTTATAAATATTATAAAATTTATTTTATTTTTAGTCATTAAAATATGTTAGATTGATAAATTAAAAAAATTACATAAGACTTTTAATTTCGGGGTTTGTTGTTTATTTTTATTGGGTTTGCTATTAATATGTAAAATTATTAATGAAATCAAAATTCACATAGTTGTAATTCAATCATTATTGTGTGGACCGTGTTCCACACGGCTATGTGGACTATACAATTAAATAATGTACATGCAGTACACAAATAATGTACTTTTAATATATTGAAAATGTACATTCTATTCAGAAAAAAGTACATTATTTGAGTATTAAAAATACACTATTTTGTATA